TTTTTTTTTTTTTTTTTTTTTGCCTACTCAATCATTCTCGTAATCTTAGGTGTTATAATCTTAGCTCCTAACCTACTATGATATTGTCCGTTTTGACTTGTTATATATCGCCGTTAGCCTCACAGTTTTTAAAATGCGTCTACTAAAAAGAGGTTTCCATACTCTTATAAGAAATGCTTGGGGACACAACGTTCTTACTAGCACATTGCCCGGTGTCTAGCTTTGATACCATTAATGACAGCCAAAACCCACCGCTATAAATATTATCCATTTTGATCTGTTACGTATCACCCTCAGCTTTACCATTTTAAAGCGTGTCTGTATGAGAGGTTTTCACACCCTTATTAGGAATGTTTCGTTCCCTTCTCCTACCGACGTGGGATCTCACTTTTCATAGAAAAAATAAAATTAAATGTCACATTCACCTTTCAAAATCTCAACAAACACCTTAGGTAGGAAGAAAAAGCTAAACACCTTTCACAATTAGTGTAACAACGAAAAAGATCGAGAAAGTGTTCTATCATGTCAAACAATACTTAATGGTGAAGGAGCGGAAAAAATAAGTGAATAATTTAGCTATCATATATGATGTCGAGTTATATCGATATAATATCAATACAAGTATAAATGAGTACACTTTTTCAATCATAGCTCCAAAAATGAGTAAGCATCCGATTTATGTTGACTAATAGTGTGTACGAAAAAAACTTGTTCATTAATTAATTCATTCCTACCATCTCAGCTTCGAGAGGCCATTAATTAATTTGTACCCAAAACTCTAATATTCTCTCACCTTTTTCTTTTATGATACTTTCATTTTCAACCATACGAAACCTCGTCTTTAACAACTTTTATAGTACGATGCATGCATCTAAATACTTTTTGTAGTTCTTTGTTCTACGTTCGATCAAATGTTTTGGAATAGAAAACCTAAGTCTCCTACCGTGCTTGGTTTCATTGTTCGTTTATGTAATGGTTGAACTAGAAAAAAAAAATCGAAAAAAACGTTGTTAAACTTAGTATTTTAGAATATGTATGCGAGATCCCACATCTGTTGGGGAGTAGAACAAAACATTTTTTTATTAGAGTGTGGTAACCTCTCTCTTGCCGTTTTAAAATCGTGAGGCTGACGACGATACGTAGCGGGCTAAAACGGACAATATCTGTTAGTTGTGGGCTTAGGCTGTTACAAATGGTATCAGAGCTAGACCTCATGTATGTGTCAGCGAGAACGTTGGGTCCCACATTGGAAGGAGAGGGGAACAAAGCATTTCTTATAAGAATGTTGAAACCTCTCCTTGATAGACGCGTTTTAAAACTGTGAGGCCGACAAAGATACGTAACAGACTAAAGCGAACAATATCTGCTAGCGGTGGGCTTGGGCTGCTTCAATGTACCGGTATACATATTATATCTTCTTATGAAGGTGTGTAGGAATGGTTTCTGACGGCGAACTCGACTCGTTCTTATGAGACTTGCATGTAATGCAACGTTTTCTCAAATATTATATGTTTCAATTAGTAATATTAGATTTTGTCGCGCTTAATTTGTGATATAATGAGTTGGAGAATTATGTAGACGTAGGTCACGTGATTAACTCATTCGAATAATTTCATTACCAACCTTCATAATTACATAAGAGATAAACTTGAAATGCTTTATTAAAAGAGATTTAAGTTAGAGATAGCAAAATGTTTGGATAGGTAATAATATGATTTGAAAGGATGCCTAATTTTTGACACATCTACTTATTACTTTAGCTTTAAGATTCTTATGATTTTTTATTTATTTATTTTTTTTTTAACGGTCCAAACATACCAATATCGAGTGTGTGCCAGCAAGAATGTTGTGTCCCGACGGGAGTGAATACCGGATGGTGTGCCTGCGAGAACGCTGAGATTCGAAAGGGGTGAAACGTGAGATCTCACGTTAATTAGAGAGAGAAATAAAATATTTTTTTTTATAAGAGAAAATTTTTACCGACAATATCTGCTATAGACATAAAATTATTTATTGTAGGGATTAATTTTTGACAAATTAATAAAGAAATAAATAGCAATAAACAAACTAAGGTCATGCACATGGCTTAGGACAGACAGGTCATTTATTATTTATTTTCTACTACCTATTTGTCACATCATAATATCCAACTCAGCACAAAATTTCCAAATATTATTGTGAATAAAAACTATATAAATTAAATTAAGGCCTCACCATATTTATTGTAAAGCTTCATAACCCAAAAATTATATTATTTATTATATATCATCATTAATCCACCCTCCAAATAAAAAGGCAGGAAAAAAAAAAGAAAAAAAGAAAAAACAGGTCCACAAACTCAGTCATTCACCCAGTGAGTCGACTCACTTCGACCCA